TCCGGGTTCATCATAAAGACGAACCCCCCTAACCGATCTATCGTAAAGCTTAGTCATCCCCACTAATCAACAAACAGGGACATCAAGCTGAACACCCAGCACTGATCACGTCACTAGTCATAAGGAATCTCACGGATTTGTTCCTTGACTGCCTTAAAACCCAATCAACCTACTTACTTACTCACTTGGCCTGACGAAGCTTTTGTGTCAAAAGCGAAACGTTGCCCAGCAATAAATCCACCGATTGTTTACCAAACCCCTCTGAAACGATGACTTTCTACTCTGTCCCAAACATTTTCCGATTGTTTGAAGACCTTGTGAGTAGTTTCCTTTATAAAATTAATATTTGTTCGTTTGGTTAACCCCATTCTTTTTTTCCACGTAATAGCGATCCCGTAACTAAACAAGAACAAAATAGACATACAAATATTTGTCTTGTTGATGTTACTACACGGATGATGAAGCGGAAAACATGGGCGAACAAATTAAAACACATTTAGATTACCTCAGTTTGAATGGTTATCTCCCTATCCTGGTTTACTTATTCTGATACATCTACACCAAAATGGACAATAACAGGACCTAAGTTTCTCTCTTATTTGAGAGTCCACCAGCAGTGCAGATGCCTACCCGTGCCGCGTGATGAACAACGGATATAAGTACAAGGCGAGTGCTTTACAATTATTGCACTGTCGTTATACCAGAATTATCAGCTGTTCAGACTTGAACGACGTGATTCGTTCACCCATCGACCAGAATGCTGATCTAGCAACTACCCTGTCGACTGGTCCGCCTGTCAGGAATTTCACGACGCTAAAAAACGGTGGGACATTTTTCTGTTAGTCACATATGGGTATGGAATTCACATTCACATTACTCTCGTTTGAAAGTCCCCCTTATGTCCAGCATTGAACGAAAACTCATATTTTCGTATCGAGCGTGAAATATCGGGACATCTGTCTTCTCATTTGGTGGTACATTTTTAACCTTCAAATAGGATTTCAGTGATTTGCGAAATATCGTATATTTATGAGTACTTATTTCTGCAGGTCATCACCGAAGTTGCATTTTCTATTTCCGACGACTACCTCCCTGGCTAATATCTACATTGCGAGCAGTATGCTTCCACATGTTCATCTGCACACCTATCGAGACCTCAGTAAGTTTGCACTCTGCACGACCTTTTTACAGGTGATTTGATGAGGGCTTCTCACTTGGATTGTTTGTCAGTACGTGGAAACTAGATGAGGTGTTTGTTGCTAAGTTCCTCTTGGGGCTCATCGTATAAGTAGATATAATATCTTGATTATTTTCACTTGAAGTGTTTGTCTGTGATGTGGCGACCAAAGAGAGACTAATATCCCAGCGGTGCACGTTGAACGAATCTGAATTGACATGCCTGTGCATTGTAGTGGAGGCGTTTGGCGAAATACACTAAATTGGGTTGATGTTAACGAGAATTCAACCGATTCCCAAGTGGAGCTTTCTTATAGGATGTTCTTCATTCACAGGGTCGCATCATTGCTCCAATTATTAGGATTTATGGCATATTGGGGTTTCTTTTTCTTGACACAATAACACACTCATTTTTTAACCAAAAACGTCTTGACCCACCAAAAGGCTCTCAGCTCCGGCGATTTCGGAGCAGTCGTCCAAGGGGTGGAAGACATTCCTTTAACGAAGCTACATTTATTTAGTCCATTTTGATGAAAGTGTGTTTTAGTCTTTGTTGAAATGAAGCACTTTCGTTGATTTCGCTGAAATATTCTCTATGGATAGTATTCTTGAATCTGCCTCCAGCTGCTTATCGAAGCATCCAATGTAATGTAATGTAATGTAATGTAATGTAATGTAATGTAATGTAATGTAATGTAATGTAATGTAATGTAATGTAATGTAATGTAATGTAATGTAATGTAATGTAATGTAATGTAATGTAATGTAATGTAATGTAATGTAATGTAATGTAATGTAATGTAATGTAATGTAATGTAATGTAATGTAATGTAATGTAATGTAATGTAATGTAATGTAATGTAATGTAATGTAATGTAATGTAATGTAATGTAATGTAATGTAATGTAATGTAATGTAATGTAAATGTAATGTAATGTAATGTAATGTAAACGCAGCGGTATAGTAGCGAACTCTGTTTAGTATTCAGTTGATAGAGGGCTGCGGGTGAACCGTTCGAGCTCTATCGTCACTGTAACGTCAGATTGATTTCGGCACCACACTCCTATCGTCTTCTCGTTTAGCCCGTACATTAAATTGTTGTCGTTCTCATCTGCCACCATCGCAACAAGCAGTGCGTCCCAAAAATTATGACAGCCACAGTGTCACAGCTTACAATAACTCAACTTACAAGGCGTGAAACACTGCCCACGAGCATCCCAGTCTTTGTTTCATCGAACAGAACAATTTCAACTTAACTCACACGTAAAATTCTTTGTTCCGATTACAGGGTCGTACAGTGTATGTGAAGGACACCGATCTGCGGTAATTAACGGAACCCCCAGGGCCTACTCCTACTTTTTGTGTCCAGAGAGTTTGGCAAACAGGTCCCATGTCTACTGCTGTTCAGATAAAACGACTCACGAGGGGTACTGCTGCCCAGTCGAAAAATGGAGGTATGTCTCTGAATACAGGTTTTCAATGACATTGTTGATTACTATTCTGCAGTATTGAGGCATTTTGACACGGCTGCGTGAAATGCAAGATGGGTATATGTAAATGTATATATGATGTCATATGCACGAACACCATTCAGCAAGAAAAGTGTTCTGCACATTCGCATTCTCACTCTTAAAAACACGAATAAAGAGACCATAACAGGTGAGTACTCAGAAGCTGCTTCGCTGGACACAACTGTTCACTTCAGTGCCGTCTGACAAAAACGAGGAAGCACTTTGTAGGCAGGCGTACGCCGTTCGATCATTCTCAGCAAGAACCATTCGGCCGACAAAAGTGACAGATTTGTGTCATTGTATCCCCAACATCATTTTTCGCACGACTTGTTGAGTTAGGGTTGACAGTTTAACTGCTAGTTCACGCATCGGTCTTATAGTGAAAAGCAGTAATATACAATACTAAATGACCTCTTTGGAAACGAATGAGGGACAGTCAGCGAACAGTGGTACTTCTCTTGACAAAACTATGCACTTTAGCTACATCTTTCATGTTTGAAAACGTAAAGTGTGTTGTGTCAGATGTAAAGTCATTTCTAGACAGACGTGAGATGCCGTCTTAACCATCACTTTACGAGACTGTCATGAAAAATGTGGTTTTCTCCACCACCAGTTCGAACGGTAGGTAAGAATCTTCCGGAAGAATATGGGGAGATGTTGTCTAGTTTCAAAGTATCTGTCAAATTCACATCACTCTCGTTTGAGCAGTCATCCTCCTGTCCCCTCTCTCCTTTGGTGTGGAATCACCAGAATGAATAGGCCAGGACGTGAGGCGAACTGTTTAAACGAGAGCGATGTGAATATGAACAATACACATCCCGTAAACCCCATAACATGCATTTGTCAAATTCATGTGTGGTGCCCCGCCAAGACAATATTCCTGGGAGTGGGTGCTTTCACGAATGGGACAACGCGGTTCGGTGCCAATTCCATGCACTGCAGGATATGGGCGGACAACCAAAGGAGCTGCCTCCAAGATTACATCAGCTGGAGAATAATTTATGTGCAGATACCATCATTTACTGAAAATCATATTTGTGGCTTTCAGTCCAAATCTGTTGATTTGGACAACAGCAAAACCATTCACAGCTTCAAGTAAATTTGAAGGCAATTTCTAGAGAAACTCTCCGCAACTTTTGTTCCCAAGGCACTTTTTTCGTAAAATGTTTTCATGTGACCCAGGAACATCAGAGCTCAATAATGCTAGGTTTTCTTGAGAATTACACGGCGAAGTTCAATGTGAAAAATATGAGCCACAACTTCATTGTCATTGGCTTCGAACGCTGTCCCAGTCGGCATCACATGAGATTGATCTGAAAAAGTGCGACCACATTCAAGTTTAATGGCATACTGTAGGTAAAACGACAGTAGAAAAGGATATCAGTGAAATGCTAATAAGTCAGGTTATAGAATATTTGAACTTTGGAACAGGGGTTTCATTATGTTTTAGCATAGACTGTGGTGAGCATACGTGTCCGTGTGTATTGTGCGAGGCACAGAAACCAACAAAAAACCAACAACAAAAGTTGGTGCACAGCAGCCGACCGAGGACATCACAAGCATCCAAAGCAAAGTGAAAACTCTTCGACAGCCCACGACCGGTTTTGCCCTTCTTGGAACTCATCAGATAGGCACAGTCCCCGCAGCACATTCAGTTGTAGAATTCCATAAACGGGAGATTCAGCTGAGTCTCTCGTGAAAACCAAATTGATTTGCAAATCAGCGTATCTCTCGAAAGTTTCATTCACCTCACTTCCAGCTACAGGTTCTTTCCGAAACTGGAATTCTTCCAAAAAATGAGAGATTTGAAAACTTCTGGATTTGTTTTCGGTTTTTCTTGTAGTTCAGCGAATATATTCAATTTGCCTATGCATTTTACATCATCTTATGGGAGTTAAAATAAACGAATTTGTTCCTTTATTTAGTTTGCTCTGTCGGAAGCTTCACCAGACAACATCTGACCAAGGGTTTCATAACAGACTTTGATTTTACAAGCTAGCCAACAACTGTCTCGAAATAGGTGTATTTCACTTTGCATTTCAACTCTGCCACTTTCGGTAGAGGTGTTCCAGAAACTGCAACTTCCTTGGCATGGAAATGGAGAAGACATTTTCAGGCCTCCACTTGAATTAAATTGTCGACAGTCACGTATTACAAGCCTCTCTTTTTCTTTCTTGAATAATTTAGTACTCTCTAGCCAGCGGATCAGATATGTGAGATTTGAGGGCCCACGTTTACTCCACAGTACGTCGTGTTGACAAGGCAATTGTTTTTTCCAAGTAACTTTTCATCCAGGATCATCCATATATGTGATGAATCGCAGATAACGGTGGGGAATATCTCCCTAAATGTGGTCGTTGCTGCCTGCTCCAAGGGTTGGCTGCACATCAAATAGCAGTCAACAAATTGCACATCATCTTCTTTAACGACCATATCCAAGTAGCTTAGAAAGACAGAGTCAAGCTTGGGCCACAACTGGCAACCAGCTGTGCTTTCTGACACAAATACCAAGTTAAGACAAACAGCAACGCACACGGCAACACAGATGAAGTATACTTATGATTCGGATGGCTGCTCTGGATTCAAATGAAGTGTAGACATGAAACAAGCCCTAATGTGACTACCCGACATCATTGACCCGGGACAAAACGAATCGGTTCAAAGTGTAGTTAGTACTGACTGACCCAGTAATCTGCTCTAGTGATTTTTTATCAAAACACAAGGAACCATTAGTGTATTGACCTTTTTATCCATCTGCCAAGAAAGTGGAGACTATAAGGTGAAAAATTCTGCACCTAGCAACGTCTTCCATTTGTAAGTGGTGTTCAGGCTCCCTTGAGATTTTCATTGTTTCTTTTTAGACTCAGCCGGCTGTTCCGAATTCCAGCAATAAGTTGTTTGGGAATTCAGTATCTTGTTCATAGCCACACCGCTCTCGTTTTAACGGTCGTGCTACTTTTTGGCGTAATTATTCCGGTGAGTCCACACCAAAGGGAATCACTGGACTCGAGTTTCGCTCTTATTAGAGCTCATCAGCAGTGCATATCCAATGGCCATGCCGGGATTTGAACCCCGGACATCTGACATGCGAGGTGAGCGTGTAACCACTACTCCACCAACGCACGTTGGACGAATCTGAATTTTCACATGTTAACAGGCGAACTTATTCACATTTGAGCGATGTGACGACCCAGTGGCTGTCCTGGTTGTGACAATCGCCTGACCCGCCAGTCAGGACTTCCAAGTCAGGTAGCGTGACAAACGCTTGAAACCCACTGGACAACTTTTTTGGTTGCAACTTTTGGGGTTTTTTAGGGTAGGTATTTTGTTCATGTTCAGTATCCCTAACTACTGGACATCCTTTATTGAAGGGTTTCGCTGCACAATAGGATCGGTATTATTGCAGATAGGTCGAAGCGTTTTCAAACTGTGGGACGACCACTATTACTCCGGTGTATTTCTAGCTCTTGTAATTTAGCTGCTTTTTGAGCAGCGAATTAACTTCTAATTTGACGAAATTTTCTTTAAACTATCCTATTTCAGTTGACACATAATTCAAAGGATACCGACATATTACAACAACGCCGATATATTCTTCTCAAATCAGACCAGTTAAACAGAGCTGGAAATTGAAAATTGAGTTACTGAATGAATGAATTTCAAAAGTCATCAATCCAATTCGCTAGCCCATAGTAATCTTTTTTAGGTTACGGGAGCTTTCTTGTCGAGGCTGCATGTCAAAACATCCACGGATTAGTTTACAGAGTGAGTGACGAAAAAGTACATTGTGTCGGTTGTCCGGGTTTATTGAAATAAAGGAAATGTCGATTGTAATTCTCAGTTGAAAACTTCCGTTATTTTCCTACCGGGAAAGGAGATCATGAAGAAATATTTAAAAATGTCCCACCGCCCTTTCGATCTCGAAAAATACTTATCTTTAGGTAAACCTAATAAATCTCACTCAAAAGATGACCGTTGACTTATTGAATCTTAATTTTCTATTGTCATTATGAAAGAGAGGAAATAAGATGTGCTGAAAACGTGGTGACAGAGGTGTACGAAAGTCATCCCTGCTTTTTTCATAAAGGAAACTACTTAAAAGGTTGCTGAAAACACTTTGACAGCCCACGACGGGTTTCGCCCTTCTTTGGGCTCATCAGGTAGGCGGCAGTCCCGAGTTTTCATCAACCTTATGGTCTACTTGATCCCTGCCTTCTTCGGCATTACTCCAGCAGAGTGGATCATGTATGCCATTCACTGCATCACACTAGAGAAAGGGGTCAAAGGCTGTTTTAAGTTGTTAATTTTGAAGAAAACTTCCGTTTGAAGAGTAAACTGGAGAACTGAAGGTCCTTTCTTTTTCGGATTTTGCAATTGTGCAAATGAGAACCGATTTATTGCCAACTCAGCTACCATGAGGAGAGTATAATCATATATCGTAATTCTATTGACCAAACAAACGAGCCCTTTTCTCTGATTTATTCTGCCCTGTAATTTTGACAGAACCATAGTGGGCATCACCATTATTTCGGTCGCAGCGTTCTGTGCGGCTTGTGTACTCGGTTGTGTTTTGCTCCGGAAGTGTAGGAAGTGCCGTCTACCCACGCGCAGTTCCAGGCAATCGAATTCACCACCAACTGCAGTAAGTGCATGGTTCTTTCTATCGGAATAGGGTTGTGAGATCTTCCCCACTTCAATGTCCGACGACAAAGTGTTTTAGGTATCCAAACTTTTCACGAGACTTATATTGCTACATCTTGGGGACGGAATTCCCTGACAAATCCTTCATCGTGTGTAGGGACCAACCATTCTAGAGAAAAGACAACCAACGTGAAATTTAATTATATGATTAGTATAGTTTCAAAACATGTCTTACACGTTGTGTACTACTACTATACTATGCTATGCTATACTATACTATACTGCACCATACTATACTACTTACTTTCAAAATAAATTTCTGATGTGAGTCTTCCTTTTTGAAGGAACCAATTGAATAGAAAACGTTGCATAACCCTTCTTTACCTGGTCACTTAAAATGCAGTGATGCGCAGCTATTTTCAGCACCTTCGTTAGATCACGATGAGATTCGTTCACTTGACTGGACTGAATGCTGTTGATATTCGGTAGCCTTGTGTGCAGGTAAATAAAACGCCGCTGGTGGGCATCTGTCCCTGGATGTCACCGTCCCGTCGAACCGTGCAGAGTCCCCCTAGTAAGAGTTTGCACCAAATCCCAAAGTGGTCTTCAACCAGGATAAACTTTAACCAGGAAGCCAACACTAAGAATGAATATAAAAAATTATACAAGTCAGGTTGGTCACATGGAGGTGAATGATTGATTTTTATGGCAAGTTAAGGACCTGTTACTTTTAACCGATTGAATCGGCACAACACATTAAAGTGCGCCAATATTCCGCTCGCAGTGTCTTTCCGAAAATTTTATAAAAAATAGAGTTGGCCGGGTCTTGATACTTGATAAAATTTCCAAAGTGGCATTGCCGACAGTGGAAACAGCAAGTATTCTCAATCCCTGCCAGTCGGCCGGAACAAAAAGAAAACAGAAGTTAGTCAGTGCACTTCAGGTCATTGTAATGGTGACGTAAGGCTGACGTTGCAGGCAGAGCTTTTAAGCGGTTTGTTTTCAAATCTGTTGAAGAATACCAGATGGTTACTTTGTTGTTTCTGAGGGCACTTGATTACGTCGTGGGTGAATGCTACAGTAACTCTGGGAAACACTAATCTGAGGCACTCTGTTCGGTCCACGCCGCAATAGGCTGGTGGAGTGGTTTCCGAGTTGGTTCAACAATGATTGCAAGCGATTCAGCATTGTTCTGGTCTAGACGGAGTAGTTGATTGCAAACATCCAGGTAAGCGGTCTGCAGAAGGCAAAAGTCAGGTTAGGGTACCAAGTCACTGTCGGTCAACAGTGTGTCTTTTATGAGGAAATAGTACAATAAGACGGTAGTTTTGTCTGGATAGAATAACTGACTAGATAGAAGAAAATCACCAGAACCGCAAGTGTCATTTGGAATCACTCGTATTGGAAATATGCCTGAACACAACCAGGCCTACCGGTGGTAAGCAAGATGTGATTCACTACTCACGAGGTTGCTGAAAGCTCCTAGACAGCCCACGAGGGTCTCATCGAGTAGATGCAGTCCCCGAGTTTCCGTCAAACTTACGTTTTACTTGAACCCAAATTACACGAAATTAGCGAAGTACACTCATTTACACACCAATTTGATTTTGACGGAAGACTCACCTGGAACCCAGCCGAATCCGTCATTTATGATGTATTTAAGCAACTGTACAACACATTCAGTTGTTCATGCGGTCATCTGCCCTATGAAACCTAATAAAATGGGCGTAGTAGGGTAGCTAAAGTGCCAAATGTGCCACCGCGCAATAAGCCGCACGCAGACCACAAGTACACTACATCCCACACACAATTTTTATGTATTCAGAACAGAAAATCATATTTATAAGTGATTCCAAACAATCCACATCCCTAATTCCAAAAGGTACTGAATTTTCAAATGTAATTGGCGAGAATTGCATCTTTTGAACAGTGTTTCAATAGGGGAAAGATGTAGCTGGAACAAGAAACACAACTTTGGTTAAAATATTTATAGTAAATCAACTTTTGGGTTGGCATTTCTTCAATAGAGTTTTGACCCGTTACTCAAGCGTCATATTCTGAACGTCATATCGAAGTTTTTTGTCCATCAATCTCCAAAGCAGGAATCGGATGCACACACTCCCTTGAATGCTGACGCGCTCACACCCACGCCTCCCCGTAGTTCCTCACAACTTCGACTTCATTCTCTGACAACAGATCGTACTCGCGACATTGTGGATTTTGCCAAGTCTAGACTGAAAGAAAAGCCCATGGATGAACCAGCACCGCCACCTTATCCCGGACATAATTCTCCACCGCCGTATCCGTCGAAGTCCTGATCAATGCGTATGTGTTGTAAGTTTTCATAAGATACGAATCGAATTTTTCACTTAGAATATCATGAAAGATCCAGAACGAAATCTCTATGGGTTAATAATCTAGTGGCTATGCAGGCTGAGAATCCTGCTTACCATCGTGCACACTGATGTAGTCCGATGATCAACAGTATGGAGCTTTCAACAAAAGGGTCACATGACCGGTCCGTCTAAGCCCACCGAACTAATCACGATAAGGTCAAGTGGCAGAGGTTCCCACATATGCGACTCTACCTGCACCATAAGCATCCAAGAAAACTTCAGGGCCCTGTTCAAGTACTCGTTCGGTCCTCCGTGAAGACTGCCGCTTTCCTTTCTGCAAAGCGCTCAGCTCTCTCCAAACAATAAAGGTTTATCTCGATGAAGCCGACATCTATTCAAATCTATGCGTATACTACTGCTCATTAATGACAATATCAACCACCGTTGAATAAGGTAGGAGTGTGGTGAACTTGCTTTGAAGTTCAGTTACAAAAAGCATGAGGGGCAGCGAACGTGTCCGACTGGTCTTTAAGTAAAGCAACCGTCCGGTAAGCGGAGGGTCAGGGGTTCAGTCTGCTCCTAGACGTATCTTCTGGTTCATGCTCTGTTCCTGGGTATCACTTTCAAATAAGCTATGCAAGTCAAAGTCGCACCGCAGAATCTGATTAGGCCACATGACAATCGGGTACGTCAAACGGCCAAAATTCTTCAAATTTCGACCTCGTCCGTAGCATACAGCCCCAGCTCACCAGTTTGACTTACCCACGCGCCCTTCTAAAGAAATCAACTTAAAAGTTTCATCAAATGCATGGGAAGGGTCTTGTTGTTGGGGTGAACACCAAGGCTCAAACCAAAATGCTATATAATTAGTTCATTTCCCTGGTCCAAATTCTGTAATAATGATTTTCTCCATTCATTTCAGCCGAACAAGAAATTCGAATTTTACTGCCCTCCAGTACGAAATTCATCCCTCTGTGATGAGAGGCAGCTCCTAACGATCGATCTTACTGGGTTTAAAGCTACGTTTATCCCATGAAAATATTATTTTTTTTGCTTTCTTATCACGTTTGCCCAGAAAAGAACATCACTCAGATGCTTATGCATATTTTTTATAGAAATGTGGACATAATGAAAAAGAGAATATTTTTGCCCAGATTTTTTAAGATTTTTGGAAAACGCACTCAAGTGCAGGGAGTTGTTTCTTTTGTACTATGGAGTTTGTTCCCACAAAATTTCAAATCGCTTTACGCCAAATCAGACGTGGAGGTTTCGTAATTTGTGAGGTGGTACTCTTTAGAATCCTCAGCGACCAGCCTCATTTACTTTTTGCTTGTCCTATCCATTAGGTGTCACGTGCTATTAATCCCATCCGTTTTCCGCATATGAACGTTATTAGTTAGGTTGCCAATTTTCACTCCAGCTTTAAGCGAATCAAATAACTGAATGATTCTGAATACTTCGAATGAAATTTACTTAAACCAACATGCGGTGCTAACTTATTGCAAACGTCTTTATGGCCAGCATGTGTCTGGATCGACAGGTCTACATCGAACTACGCCGACGCATCCAGGCACGATTGATAGTGCCGCATGCGGTTTGCATTTAGAGCGACATGTGCGGTCAGCTGAATGTCCTGTGCCCGGTATAAACCCGAAGGAATGGAGCAGGAGGTTAAACAGGATGGGGGATTTCTAAAGCAACCTGCATGGCTCAGAATTGTTAATTGTGTGTAAATGAACAATTGTGGCCCACGTTGAAGATGATTTGTTGTCTGGTGGTCTGCATCACGCATGAGGAATATCCAAGTCGAACACCCAGGAAACATCCAAGACGAACCATTGACCTTCCGGTCAGTAGATTCGTGCTGCAACCCATCGAACCATCTTGAGATCAGCATGACTCAGTGGGTTTCAGCACGAATTTACTGCCCGGAAGGTTCGTGGTTCGAATCCGACCCCTGCATCTCACCTGCTTCTGTCTAGTCTTGTGAAAACTGACAGTATCTCAGCTCTCGTGCTTCCTTCGGGTTGCAGGGCAGCTAAGCACCGAAAGCGCTGTAGCTGAACAGTTATTATTATCGTTGTTTATCACATAAACGCGTAGCTGAAGTCAGCCGCTGTACAACGAGGGGTACAGAGGTTCACCGATCTCATGACTGTGTGGCATGACACGAACGAATCTCCTGAGCCGCATCCGGGTCGTCTATGACGCATGCACGATACACATACTACATTGAATTCACTACTAATAAAAGTTCAATATCATGAAGTTCATCAAAAGTTACAAACGGGCAACCCAACCTTAGAAGGATTAATTGGCGTACCGTTGAGCCTTCTATTGGTCTGGGTGACAGCAGTCTGTCCACCGCCCAAGCTAACAGACATTCACACACATACACACACACAACCTGATACATAATATTTGCACAGAGGTTGGCCTCAATGAGCAATCGAACGCAGTTCAGTTATAGGTAAACCAGGCAAGGAAGGCTGATAGTTTATTGGATAAAAATATACGCACTCTGAGAGGGATGTTTGTCCTTTTGGAAAACATTAAATATATTCAGTGGATTCATTCAATTCCGCCTTGTCGATACAAGCGGGTAGATCATAAATCTGGAGGAATTTCAAGGTATGTGGGAAAGCAGTAAAACAGAATATTCCAATAACGGGCTAAATCAGTGTTAAGTGTTGACTATACCTTCTGCCAATTAGTGTGAGTGAACAAGCGCAACTACCGATGGGCTATGAAGGAAGTCTAGGTGAATATCAGGCTAGTCCTTCATATTCAGAAAACCTCATCTGGAACTTTTTGAGCGTCACTCAAAATTTTTGGCCTAATCGTGTAAGTTCGTGCCACAAAATGGGATGGGGGACGCAAGTAGAATTAGACACTCATTTGCAATTTAGGACGAGGTTAAGAGAAGACTTAAATGCAGTTTAGGGGATTAGTGGGCTTCCGGAGCCAGGTCTAGATAGTGGGCTCCAAAGAGTTTCCATCCACCTCGTATTTCTTGTCATGTGAGTCGTGAACTCTTGCCATTTCAGGTCAGGTTGAGGTTTGTGCTTCAGCTTCAAACTACTGGTGATTTCTCTTGAATTAAAACAACACGCCATGTGTCAATTCCACCGATCTAGACGATAGGGATTCACAATAGGTTGAGCAAAGAGCAGTACATTCGTGTCTGTTGGGAGTTTCTAGGAGAGGTGGTATTGACAGGAATGAATATGGGATTGGACTCAATGAATATTGATCGATTTCAAGTAGAACATAAGGTTGACGGGGACTGCGGCTACCTGATGAGCCCCAAGAAGGGCGAAACCAGTCGTGGGCTGTCGAGGAGTTTTCAGCAACCTTATGAGTAGTGCATTACAAATATACATGTATCGCGATATCTCGAATATCGTAGCGATTGAAACATGAGGCGGCCTGGTGCAGCACATTCAGTTGCCTGGAAACATCAAAACCGAGAGACTCAGCTGGGTTGCAGGTGAGTCTCTCGAAAAAAAAACTAAATTAGTTTACAAATGAGCGTATATTCGTTGATTAATCGAATCGTTCTCAGCAAACAACGAGAATCAAACTGGAAGTGAGTAACGTCAGCCTGCAGACCAAATGTGGTATGCATGACCGTTGGAGTGCCGTCTGCCAAGAAAGACGTCGATAGCTCATGAGGGGCAATATTATTTCTGGATTTTAAATATTTTCGCCTCTTTCGTGCTTTTGTGAGTTGGAACTCACAGGAGTACTGACAACCATGATATCCCTCATCGATTACTGCAAAAGTGGTCTGCATGTATTAGGCCATTCTGAAGTAATGTGCACTTTTATGTCAATGCGAAAATGGCCAACCTCGTGAACGTTGATCAGCTCAGCCAGAAGCTCACTAATAACAATATGCTTTTCACACTACTAGCAAAAGTAAAAAAATTCCAGAAGCTTAGATAAATTGACAGAAGCACCTGGACGATCGGACGGTGAAACTGATGCCTCGTGTGCATGTCAAATGAATAGGATTGGCTGCATTCTTAAGGTTTGACACCACATTTGAACAAACGGCTAATTAGGTCGGATACGTTATACAAAGCTGCTTGAAACGATAATCGGTTCATGAATGAAGGAATAATACCACTGTAACGGCTTATTCCACTGCCGGGGCATGCGAGTAGTCTGTGTTCGTGTCGAAGCTCCTCTCTGCGTCCAACGGAAGGTGGATTTCATCGCGAAACTTGTGGGACTTCGCTGCAGTGTTCGTTCACAATTGTGTAATAGACAATGAATATTCATGAAGGCTCAAAGACGCGTGCGAGAATATTCAGTTTTTTTTAATTAGTTGCACGAGACATTTACTTTCCTGTCCAATAGTTTGTAACTACTCAGTTGGTGTTTGTCAATAAACGACTTGGCAGCGGAGCACTTTCCTCCTTTCACCACCAGTACAAGCAATAAAGCGGTGTGATGTGAAGCGAAGCTTAGATAAAGAACTATGAATCTCCATGTGTTTCTACTGTCTGACAAGCAGATACTGGCCAACAAAGGGCCTCAAAAGACGGATGGACTTCGAAGACTTGAGAAGAAAAAGATGGTTTCACGAAACTGTAATGTGATTGTAATGCAACATAATCAGCAATCGGGCACTCTGACCACGGTATCTGACAACATGGGGTTCTCACGTGACCCCTGATACCCCACACGTAATGAGATTATTATATTGCCAAAATGTGCAGTAGCCACAGTTCCCTGTGGTTAACAAAAACATCTGTCTCCCTCATACAATAATCCTGGAGGCATGTAGATGCTTTGACGTTATTTAAACCGGAACAGTAAACCTATGGTTATACACGTGTGAGCCCACTTCAAGGTGAACGTGAACCAGGTCAGGTGAACTTCTGAGTGCAGACTAGTCCGATAATTCTCTCAGTCTCCTTATTACCAGTTTCGCTAACTATATGTCGGTGCATCAAATTGCCAATGATTTATT